TTGGTTTAATCTGAATGCCAAGGTTAATGCTTTTTCTGTGAAGGTATTAGTTTCTATGGGAAATTTTCACTGTGGTATTACTGAGCAGAGTATGAAGAGAAGGAAGAAGTTGAGGGAAGGTGATTGGTATATCTGCATCATTCAAAAGTGTATTACAAAAGGAAAATTAGCCAGGCTAGTATCGCAAAATTGTTGGGGGTGACACAGTTGACATAGCATGTAGTTCCAGCTACATTTGAAATCTGACTTGAACCTCATGAAAAGACAAGATATCAATGGACAGAACTGTGCATTGGTTAGGGGTTCATGATATCTTGGCCTTGTCAAATTATTAGTGAAGAGTTAATTGAGAGCCATGGATAAGGAGAACAATGAAAGAAGTTAAGAGAAATTGATAAAAACTTAGTTGACACTTTTTATTATGATAGATTTAAGAGGTTTTTCACAGATAATTTAAATTTATTCCTTTAAAAAAATAGATGTGCTGGCACATGCCTATAATCCCAGTGACTTGAGAGGCTGAGGCTGGAGGATCACAAGTTCAAGTCCAGCCTCAGTAAGGTCCTGTATCTTGAAAAAAAAAAAAAAAAATATATATATATATATATATATATATATATATATATATATTTATATATATACACATACACACATACATACATGCATACATATATACATATAAAGGGATAGGGATGTGGCTCAGTAGTGAGTTCAATCCCCTATACCAAAAATAAAAAAAAAATAATAAAACATGTTTAAAAAAAGTAATCTTTCCCACTGTTTTTGTCAGGTAATCAAACAGCAGAGAAGACTGTGTATGGAGAGTTTTCAATTTGGGGACTCTGAAGTAACCTAGGAGTGACATGGAAGTTTAAAGGGTAGTTACTAGTTATGAGCAAAACCATCTCTTCTCCACGAACAGGCTGAGAAATGGAAGCTACACCGGTAGAAAACTAGAGTTTATAGATGTTTTCAGAATGACTGGGCCACCAGAGATTAGTGGTTTATAGTACAATATTAGGAAAACTTATGTCATGTGACCTTAATATCAAAGTAGTATATGTATTCAATTATGATGGTATTTTAAAATGCTAAGAAATTATAGTATATGCTTATGGTTTTGTATGTATTATAACACCTTGAGGAAACAAAGTACTATATTATTCACTAATTTACTGTATCTCAAAATCAATATTTAGAGGCTGATATTATATAGGTCCAGAGATATGTGTGTGTGTTTGTGTGTGTGTGTAGTTGAGTAGTTGTACTAAGATAACAACATTGGTCTGGGAGTTTCAAGGTCTCTGAAAAAAAGAAGTTTCTTTTCTAAGGGCTAGATCACTTTAAGAAGTCAGCTTGAAACATGTGTCAGTGTCGATATGAAACTTTTTGGTGAATTTGGTATATCTGGTGAATATATGCACCATTTTGTTTATCAACAAGGGAAGTGATTATATTAGCAAGATGACTAATACCAATCTTAAAGAACCAAAGATGTTTGAAAAGTTGAAGTGGTTTTAAAATTGATTCATCCAAGATTATTCTTGGAGTGGAATAAATGGATTGTCATTCAGCACCTTATTGATTTACTTTCTGGTGTGCCTTTCTAAACAGCAGAAAATAGAAATCATTAAAAAATCCTAGATCCTCTTTCAGCTTGAGATTGATGTGGAAAAGATTCCACAGACACACTGTATTCATGTGTGACTTGGAATTTTAAAGTTAGGAAAGGCAATTATCTTGGTACCTTAATTATTTTGACTTGTCAGCATCTCTGTCTCCACAGAGACAAGATTTTTTTCTGTAGTAGCAACTCTGTGTACTTAGATCCCTAGTTCCCAGCCAAAACAGTGATTTTCTCTGGTGATATTACATAGAAGATGGATAACATATATGTACATTTAATGAATAATGTTGCAAAAATGAATGTGACTATCACACAAGTCAATAAATGAGATATGACCAAAAATCCAGAATTCTCTTTTCTGCCTTGCATCATCTCAAAATTCTCTCTTAATACAAATAATAACCTCATTTTTTATTAATCTGTTTTTTGCCTTTCTTTCTAGATTTACTACTTATGTGTTCATTTTTGCAATACTATTGATGGATATTTGTGTTTTTTGCAATTTGTGGGTGTCATAAATAATACTGCTATGCATATCATTTTAGTATATCTTGGTGCTTAGGAGAACACATTTCTCTAGAAAGTGGAATGCAGAGTCAAAGGAAAGTTTGAGGAATGGAATGAGTTACAGGGAAAATATATTCTTAACTTTTATATAATGACAAGGAATATCACAAGTGGTCAAATCAATTTACACTTCCAAAAATAGTGGGTGAGTTTCTCAAATTTGAATTACTTGCCAACATTAGTCAGTATCACTTCTTTAAGATTCCCCATACAAGGGGCACATAGTGGCACTGAATTATGGTTTGAATTTAAGTTTTCAAGATTACTAAAGAGGTTATGATCTTTAAATATACTTATTGACTTTTGAGATTGGCTATATTTCAAAGAATCTTTGAAATTTTTACCCATTTTTTTCCCCATTAGGTTGTCTGTTTTTTTTTATTCTTCAGGCTACATAAGAGTTCTTATCATATTATTAATAGTGGTCTTTTATTGGTTTTATTATTGCAGTTATCTTGTAAAACTGTGTCTTATCTTGTCTTTAGCTATCCTTAAGTTTTATTTTGGGGGAAAATATTTCTTAATTTAATATACATCAGTCTTTTTCTTTAAAGATTGGATTTTTTATCTTAAAAATATCTTTCTGTTGTGTGACATGAAAATATCCTCCCATATTGTTTATTAAAATATTTTTGTGAACCTTTCACATTAGGTCATTCATCTACTGAGAAATAACTTTATTAATAGTATCAAGTAGGGGTCAAATTTTTATTTTTTTCTCATGGATACCTTATCACTAGAAACTTTTTAATAAAAAAAATTATTTTTGTGCAATAATAACTGCCATGAAAGAGTTTGTATATATTTTTGTTCTTTTTAAAATTTCTATACTATTTTTTAAATTTATGCTTTAATTGGATAGTAAAAATTGTATATATTTATGTGTATAACACAGTATTTTGATATATGTATACATTATAAATCTATATTCTTATCTTGGTTCACTTTTCTGTCTTTATATCAATGTTGCACTGCTTTACAAGAAATCTGAATACTTGATGAAAATAAACCTTAAAATTTATCTTTCTCTTCGAGTGTGTGATTGTTATTCTTAGGCATTTTTGATTCATAAAAAGGGAGCTTTTTGAGTCAAAGTCAAAACTTTTGGGATTTTCACTTAGATTTTGTTTATTCTATAAATTATTAGAAAATTAACATCTTTTCAATATTAAGGTCTAATTTATAAACACAGAATATATATCTATTGATTTTTTCAAGGACTTTGAAAAAGTATTATAACATTGTAGAGAGTTTGCATATCTTAGATCTATTACTACAACTTCAACTTTTTGGTGCTATCTGAAATGATTTATTTCTTCTTAATTTCATTTTTCTGTTGGTTGCTGTTATATGAAAATACGCTTTATTTTTATTGATCGTGTGTTATTGTCTCTAATCAATTGGCATTTTGGCTAACTTTCTGCACTGCCTACGATTTCCAGTATATTCCTGAAGTGGTGATAGAAGTCATCTCTGTTTTATTCTTGATATCAAAATGAAATGTTGAACCATCTCAACATTAAATATGATGTTCTTGTATGAAGACAGCCTTTTTTGACTAAGAACATTTCTGTTTCTATTTTGGTAGGATTTGCTAAGGGTTTTTTTGTTGTTGTTGTTGTTGTTGTCTTTAAAAATATGAATGACTGGTTGAAATGATAAGCTGCTTTTATTTATTTTTTTTTGTAAGTTTACTTCCTTACTTAATTAGTGAAATAACTTGGTATTCCTTATACAAATTTTTTTTTATATAATGCTGGGTTCAATTGAATTCTAATATTTTAATATTTATTATCTACTTTCCTAAGCAATAATGGCTGTCATTATCCTTTGTTATGTTGTTCTTTCTTTCCTGATATAAAGACATTACTACAAAAAAAAAAAACCTGAATAGTGTCCCTTCATTTCTATACCTAGAAGAGTTTGTGTATATTTGGAATTTTTTCTTCCTTGAATGATTATTAGAAGACACTGGTGAAACTCTATTGGATTTAAACTTTAATACTATGTGAAAAGTATTGACTATTGATTCATCTTCTATAAGGATAAATGTATTTGTATTTTTCTATTTGTTTCCATCTATTTTGATGTTATATTTTTCTAGGGAGTGTGGTTTTTTAAAATTTTAAAATGTATAAACATATTTTCCCCTTTTTTTAAGTACTCAGGATTGAACTCAGGGGCACTCAACCACTGAGCCATATCCACAGCCCTATTTTGTATTTAGTGACAGGTTCTCACTGAGTTGCTTAGTGCCTCACTGTTGCTGAGGCTGGCTTTGAACTTGTGATCCTCCTGCCTCAGCCTCCCGAGCTTCTGGGATTATAGGCCTACACCACCACACCTGCCTTTTCGCTTTTATTTTTGAAGATATATTGGTTCCTCCTGCTTTTTATATTTCTTTTTCTTAAATAGTCTCTCAAATAGATTGCGATTGTATTACTCTTTTAAAGGAGCCATGTATTGACTTTTAATTTTGTTGATTATTCTCTATGTCATTAATTTCTGCTTTTTGATTTATTATTTACTTTTCCCATTTTATTTAGTTATGTCTTTTGAAGGTAGTGCATTTATATGTAATTTTACACTGTCTGACACTTCTATTTGAAGCAGCTAATCATATTACATTTATTGTAATTACTGATTTATTTTGATTTTAATCTTCCTTACTTTTGTCTTTCTATTTGTCTTGTCAACACTCTTTCATATTTTCTTTTCTTCCCTTTGGTTTTATTATTTGTAGCAATCCATTTTTACTGCATTGTTTTTTTTTTTTTTTTTTGAGGAATAAAAAAAGACCTTGATATTCCACCCTTTGAGTTACAATCGGGACAAGCAGGATAACACAGAGGGTGAAGAGTTGGAGTGGGAGGCAGAACTAGGAGGGGCTTGAAGGCTGAGGTCTAGTCCATTTAGTTTTTGTATTGGAAGGGTTCATCTCCGGTTTCATTGAGAAGACACGTGCGGATGAGGGCTTCTGTCACTGAATAGGGGTCACAGTTGGCAGAGGGGCGACGGTCTTCAAAGTAACCCCTCCTCTCCTGGCCGACAGTCCGGGGAATGCGGATGCTGGCACTACGGTTGGCCACGCCAGCAGCAAAGTCGTTGATGTTGGAGGTTTCGTGGAATCCAGTTAGGCGCCGGGCATTGTCCAGGCCCCCCTTGGGATCATAGGCACGAATGTGGTACTGGTGCCGCTTGCTTAGTTTCTCAATGGCCTCCTCAATGTATTTCAGACCATTCTCCTCCCTCATGGCCTTGGTACTAAAGTTGGTGTGGCAGCCGGCACCATTCCAGTTTCCAGGAATGGGCTTGGGATCAAAGGTAGCTATCACTCCAAAGTCTTCACATACGCGATGCAAGATGAAACGGGCCACCCAGAGATGATCTCCCATGTGGATTCCTTCACAAGGTCCTATTTGGAATCCCCACTGGGCAGGCATGACCTCAGCATTTGTCCCCGTAATCATGACTCCAGCATACAAGCAGGCCCGGTAATGAGCTTCCACAATGTCCCTGCCATAGGCTTTGTCTGCTCCCACGCCACAGTAATATGGACCTTGGGGACCAGGAAAGCCATTAGAAGGCCAACCAAAGGGATGACCATCTGTGCCCATGAGAGTGTATTCCTGTTCCATTCCAAACCAGGGATGCTGGTTGCTCACCATTTCCATTATCCGTTTACAGGTGTGCCTTAAATTGGTCTCTGCAGGCTTTCGGTTGTACTTGAAAACTTCACAGAACACTAGCTTGTTGGGATCCTTGCGGAAGGGGTCCCGAAACATGGCAGCAGGTACAAGATACATGTCACTATTGGAGCCTTCAGACTGAAAAGTACTAGAGCCATCAAAATTCCACTCAGGCAACTCTTCTACACTCTTGGGCTCAGAGTCCAGGGTGCGAGTCTTGCAGCGAAGTCCTTCTTCAGTACCATCAATCCAGATATACATAGCTTGGACTTTCTCACCCTGAGGCAGGGACATATACACCTGCTTGATGCCTTTGTTCAAGTGGGAACTTGCTGAGGTGGCCATGATGGAAGATGTTCTGGGCGGCGAGCAGGTGGCGGGCGGGCGGGCCGTGAGAGCGAGGTGAGGAGAGAGGAGAGGAGTTCGCCGGGGCGCTCAGCAGCTCCGTTCTTCTCCCATTCTCGGCTCTCCTGCATTGATTTTTGATATTATAAATTTGTTCTCGTTATTTAATGAACAATTCATGCTAGAATTTCCTAAATATTTAGAACTGCAAAAGAAAAAGTTTCTTGGAAATTTTCCAATAATATTTGTAATTTATATTTATAGCTATATCTGTATGCATTGTTGAAAAGCAAACATTTTTAAAAATGTTGGTCTTAGCTTGTAACACAAAATTAAATAAATTGGACCATGGGAGAAAAAATAATTACCAAAACAAATAGAACAAACAAGAAATAAGCATAGAGGGTCTTAAAATTCCAGCTTACAGGCCAATTCAGACTTTTTGGTTTAAAAACTTAATTAAAGGCAATAATCAATGAAATGTTATTCTGATGTAAGGACAGATGTATAAATAAGTTGGAAAATAATTGAGAATCCAGAAATAGAACATGTGTCTATAGTAGACTCATTTTTCAAATGTGTGTCAAGACTACTCAATGGGTAAAAAGAAAAAAAAATTCAAAATATGATGCTGGGACAACTGGATAGCCACATGCAACATAAGATACTCTACCTTATCTCACACCATAATCAAAATCAAAATGGACTTAAGTCATAAATGTTGGAACTAAGACAATACAACTCTCAGAAAAAATAAAGGAGAAAATCTTCATGACTTTGGATTTGGCAAAGGAGTCTCAGATATTGACCCCAAAGCCGAAGAAACAAAAATAAATAAATAATACAGACTTTATCAGCATAAACTGTGCTTCAAAGTACACCATTAAGAAAGTAGAAAGGGCTGAGCTTGTGGCTCAGTGGTAGAGTGCATGATCCTCAGCACCACATAAATGTAAAATAAAGATATTGTGTCCACCTAAAACTTAAGAATAAATATTTAAAAAAAAGAAAGTCGAAAGGCAACTCATAGAATGGAAAAAATAAACACAAACCTTGTATCTAATACGAGGGTAATATCACAACATATATAGAAGAACTCAAAACATAAAAATTAAAAATTTTGACAAATGAACCAATTTAATTGATGAAAAATTAAAAATAGATATTTCTCCTAGAAGACCCATAATTGGCTAAAAAAAAAACCACTTGAAAAGATGCTTTCTTATACCTCTTAATTAAAGGATTAAAGAGTTAATATACAGTGTGTTAAAAACTTGGTTAGTGAATATTAGTTCTGGATTTTAAAATACTTTTGAAATTCGAGGTAGTACTTAGCAAAATATATTTTGAGTACCTTGTGGATAATAAGGCTCAAAAAATTCAGAAGTATTAATCCACATTATTTTAACTAAATGTATAATTCTACTTTTACTATCCACATGAATTCAATCATATGAAACATGATAACATTAAGTTTTCTTAAAAGGAACATAACATTTATATGTGAAATATTACATGTGTGTTTGTGGGAGAGGGGAGAGGCTGGCAAGTTCAAAATCTGCAGGGGCCCACAAGGCAGGCTGGAAGTATGGAGACTCAAGGAAGAATGGATGTAACAGTTTAATTCAAGGGCAGTTGGCTGGCATAATGCCCTTTTTGTTGTCAGGGGATATCAGTCATTCTCTATTAAGGCCTTCAACTAAATCATTCTTTATGAGGCCCACCTGCATTATGGAGGGTAATTTACTTTACTCAAAGTCTACTGATTTAATTGTTAATGTCATCTAAAAAATATTTCCATGGAAACACCTGACAAAATACCTGGATACTGTGACATAGACAAGTTTCTGATCACTAATAGCAATTTAAAAGAAACCAAATCTTCTAAAGAAGATATGAAGAATTTAAGAAGCATAATGGAGGGGCAAATATACTACCTAATATAGTCATTTAAGATATACTAATTAGAACACTGTGGCATTGGCACAACCAAGGTGTAGACAGAGCCCAGAAACATGGGTAGATTAAAACAATTATTATGATTGTTTTAATCATAAATGATGGTGCAGGCATGGGAAATCCATATGGACAAAAGTGAATTAGATTCCCCATCTCAAAATAAACAGAAAATAAATCCAGTTCACATGAAATCGCAAACATTAATGTTTTAGAAAAACTACGCAAATAGCTTTATGACATCAGTTTAAGAAAGGGTTTCTGAAACATAACATTCCAACTACTATATAAAGAAAAATATCAAGAGATTAGAAAACATTATTTTTTTAAAAAAGCCTTTACAAGGGAGAAGTCAAATTGGTAAAAGGACAAAAATTAAAACAATAAATCTGAATGGCTAAGAAACTTATAAACGAAAGGTGAATCTCTATATCAAGGAAATTATGATCCATGTACTAGGAGCTATACTCTTTGGTATATTTCTGAATCAATTATTATTATATTAATTGTACATATTTATGGGGTAGAATGTGGTAATTTGATACATATACAATGTATAATGATTGAAATAGAATAAGTATTACTTCTGATTTCTAAAACATTCTTTTAAATTTTGCACATTGGAACCCCAATGTAGCATTGTTTATGATAGAATGTAAACATTATCTAAATGCCCATCTTAAAAGAAGTTGAGAAATAAATTAGGCTATTTTCATTAGGTAGAAATAACTAAATTTAGTTTCTGTGCCTGTGAACATGGCTAGATGATAATCAATATATAAAAAGAGTGTACAGGCTTAAAATATATGCAAACTAAAAGTGTATATGTGTGTGCATATGCATGTGTCCGTTATTTAAGTATACACATGGTTTACATATGGCATCATGGACACAGAGGATTCATAGGTTGCTTATAACTTTAGGAAAATGGTCTCTAGTGACATTCAGGAATTAAATCTTTGGAAAGGATGGTCTGCAAGTGAATTTTTAAAAATATTTTGCATTTTAAGTGAACATTTTCTTCTCTGAATCTATTAAGATTTACTGCGAGACTTTTTAAAGTGTGTTTGATGGGGATAAATGATTGTTCCCCTAAAGACACTAGTACTATTTGAGACCAAGGAAACTCCAGCACAAGGGTTTGTTGACATATGAATCTATTTTCTGAAGCACTAATTATTTGTGGTTGTGACAGGAAAATTTATCTAAGTGTTAATTGGTGTTTGTGTTCTCCTGACTCTACTACCACAACTTCAAGATGTAGTCAATATTTGATCTTCATTACTTCATGAGAGGTTTGTGTTAGGTTATAAAGCTGATGCTTCCTAAAATTAAAAGATTTTCCTGTATTTTATTTCAAAAAGTTCAAATGCTTTGAAAGAATAATGGTAGATTATCTAGAGAGAGATGGTAAAAAGGAAAGAAAAGAAAACAAAACAAAACAGAAGACCCTTATAGATCTGCCAAGGGAAGAGGGACAGATGTTCTTGAGTCTGGAAAAAGATTAGATATCTTCATACAGCAAACAACTTAGCAACTCATTATGGCAGTGTGCAGATATTTTGTATTTCCAAAGAGAGAAGAAAGATTTAAGAAAGAAAGGTTACATAGAGTGTGAAGGTAAAATGGACTTAGACACCAGCGTTCCTGTGGTCCACGTTTACCGGTGAAGCAGTAGAATTACCAGATTTGACGTGATCATGAGAGTTCAACAGAGATCTGTCTGTCCTTAAGACCTGAGTGCAGGCTCAGCACTGTGATGCATGCCTGTAATCTCAGTGGATCAAGAGGCTGAGGCAGGAGGATCACAAGTTCAAAGCCAGCCTCAGCAACTTAGCTAGGTCCTAAGCAATTTAGTGAGATTCTGTCTCAAAAAAAGGGTTGGGGGGGGCTGGGGATGTGGCTCAAGCGTTAGCGCACTTGCCTGGCATGCCTGCGGCCCGGGTTCGATCCTCAGCACCACATACAAACAAAGATGTTGTGTCCGCTGGAAAAAAAAAAAATTAAAAAAATTTTCTCTCTCTCTCTCTCTCTCTCTCTCTCTTTAAAAAAAAAGGGCTGGGGCTGGGGATATGGCTCAGTGGTTGAGCACCCCTAGTTTCAATCCCTGCCGCTCCCCCCAATAAACGAACGAAATGCAGAGCTTTTACCACATTTTTCAGGTTATTTTAAGCTTCCAGAATGCTCATGTGATCTGAGGAAAGAGACAGATTGTAAAATGATGACAAACTGATGTAGAACTTATTCTTAGCCTGATGGGTTGGGGGCTTCCTTACAGCATTCTTTAATTTGATTTAAAGTAAGTAACTAGATGAACCACTTCTTGTCCAAATGTATTTATCTAAACACTTAAGGTTCACTTAGTAAAGTACTGAGAGTATCAATGTGATGTTGTAGAATTACAGAAATCTAATGTGGGGAGGGGTCTTAGAGATAACTCAATCTAGTCAACTATTTTGTGAATAAGGAATCTGGAATTCATCAAAAATGGGTAACATTCTAGTAAATGAACAAGATGAGATTTAAAGTGAGATAGTTTTTATTTCAGTTTATAATCTTCATATTATTTTTTAAAATAAATATGACTAAGGCTGGGGCTGTAGCTCAGTGGCAGAGCGCTCACCTAGCATGTGTGAGGCAATGGGTTCAATCCTCAGCACCGCATAAAAATAAATAAAATAAAGGCATTCTGTCCACTTACAACTACAAAATATTTTTTAAAAAATAAATAAATGTGACTAAAAAGAGCATACTGTCCCTAAAATACTGTCTTGTGGCAATATTCCAACACAAAGATTTTATTTCTTTCCTTGAGTTTGGACAGTTTAAGATTATGCACACACACACACACACACACATCACTATAAATTAAATAAACAAAACAAAAGAATAATACTTCTTGGATTATTAACCCATTGATATTTTCCTGTGTACTTCAGGGATCTGATGCATTTTAAGATTATACAAACAAGTTCATTGGATTAGACAAAGGGGAATGAAGGGAAAGGAGGGGGGATGGGAATGGAAAAGACAGTAGAATTAATTGGACGTAACTTTTCTGTGCCATATATGAATACACCACCAGTGAAACTCCACATCATGTACAACCACAACAATGGGATCCTAATTAGAATAACTTATACCCCATGTATGTATAACATG